TAATCTACACCCCAAAAAACATATAATTAAAAAAAAAACACCCTTTTTTTTGGATGTAGTTAATCTGCAATAATACCGAAAATTCAATTCTTTGTCACCTAACTGAAATTTTGAAAGATTAGATACACCTGTAAACCCTTGTAAACGCTAGTAAACCCTTGTAAACGAAAGTTAGATGTTAACAGGCAAACCCATGAGGAAAAGCTAAATTGTAAATTGATTTTTACATTCACAAGATACCATGGTCAGGAAGATGTGCCAGGTGCGCGGGAATTTATATTGTCATTTTAACGACCTGCGCGGTGCGCCGTACTATGCCGGTAAAAAAAGGGCGCCGACAGCGCCGTACTTTTAGAAAGCTAAAAAATTTAAATATGGACGCGCAGCAATGCAAATTACGTAATCACACTGACCGTACACACAAACATGTATCCGCAGTGTGTTGTGGTTGGATAAGAGTTAATTAGATTGCTAACGCGTCAACTCAGGACTCAGGTTCTAAGAGTCAGCACAGTAATGAATATTTATTCATAGATCACAATTCAATCGGACATGAATTACAGAACTAAAGAAGGCAACATGGCTTTAGATGTGCCATCGGTGCCTTCTAATGAATGACTATGTTAGGTACCAATTAAACCCAGTTTAGGCAAGGGGCTTTATGGACTAGCTTCCAGTGCTCCTATAAGAATAAATTAGAAAGAAAGAAAGACTGGTTGGTGATGTGAGTTACGACTGGTATTTTGGGATGTTTGCTTTTCTTTCATAGTATTACCCTCTTAATTAAAGAAAATATTATTGCTTCGCGATACAGTTACTCAAAAATTCATTTTGTAGGTGCATTTACACTTGGCTTGATTATTATTAGTATATTTGAGCTACCTAGCTGCTACCCTGCTAGTCAGTGACTCAGTGAAGAAAAGATGATTGTAAATCAATGAGTAAACATCCAGTTGCCGTATTCGTTGTTAGATTTATTAACTGCTAAGTTTTCTCTAATATGCTAATAATTGCCCTTCTTTATGTGAGTTATTGTTATTTTGAAATAATTGCAAAAATTGTGTTGGGTCATACTTAAATTTCTGGTTAGGAATTCAGAACTGAATACATAGTAGGCTAATCATGATTAAGAAAATTCGGTATTATTGCAGATTAACTACATCCAAAAAAAAGGGTGTTTTTTTTTTAATTATATGTTTTTTGGGGTGTAGATTACGAATCTGAAATCCATTTTNATCATTAAGGTGATCACTATACCACCATCGGCACCCTCACGAAGCATGACAGTATGCTGCATGCCATGTTCTCAGGGAGGATGGAGGTCCTAACTGATGCTGAAGGTAAGACTCATCATTAAGGTGATCACTATACCACCATCGGCACCCTCACGAAGCATGACAGTATGCTGCATGCCATGTTCTCAGGGAGGATGGAGGTCCTAACTGATGCTGAAGGTAAGACTCATCATTAAGGTGATCACTATACCACCATCGGCACCCTCACGAAGCATGACAGTATGCTGCACGCCATGTTCTCAGGGAGGATGGAGGTCCTAACTGATGCTGAAGGTAAGACTCATCATTAAGGTGATCACTATACCACCATCGGCACCCTCACGAAGCATGACAGTATGCTGCACGCCATGTTCTCAGGGAGGATGGAGGTCCTAACTCTGTCTCTTATACACATCTAGATGTGTATAAGAGACAGGTTGAAAACTGTGTCTAAATCAGAACTGTGTCGGACGGCTCCGCGGCCCGCGCCGAGTGCTGCGCGGCGCGGAATCGATGACCGTGATTTGCACAAACGCCTGCATGAAAAAAATATAATTAGATTGATTTACGCGAGAAATTTCCCCGTTTATATACATCTTCCTGAGTGTGGACAAGATAGGCCTACCTAACCATTTACCTAATTTTCCCATGAATATATCTTACTTGTGAAATCTTTACCTGCCAATTTAGAATATCAGGCAGAAGTTTCTTGAAATTAATGGTAAAAAAAATTGTTCCGCAGGTAACTTCTAGAAATTGCATGTAAAAATATAACTTTTTCTTATTTTGCACTGAATAAATTGGGGAAAGGCCATATTATGGGTGAAATAGGTCTGATTCGTTGGTGCTTTTGCTAATATATGGGTGAATTCTGAACAATTTTTTAGGTACTTAAAAGGTGACAAATTTTCAATACACAGGGAATCTCATTTTATTCTCATAGCCTAATTATGCAATTTTGAAAACAATTGAATAGGAAGTAATTCATCTAGCAGGAATTTTGAAGTTCTGAAAATGACTGAAAAGCTTTAGTTGTGGCTAGAAGGTTAATATATTCCATGCAGTGTTCCTGTTCAGTGTTTACCAAGTGACCATTGACCAGAAGACTTGGGTACAGTACAGTGAGTAAGCAAATATCTGAAAAATTTTGCAACATGCACCAGCATCCCATCTGGAATATTGGGCAGAAACTTCATAAAATTGTGATTGCAAAAGATTGTTTTACAGGCACTTCCTTTTATATTTGTACCATCTAACAAGTTTTCATGTTACCAATGAGAAATGCTCCACAAAATATGTCGAAATAAACCTATAGTTAAAGTAGGTACCGTATATTATCTGTGCTGGTTCTCTTCTCAAAAACCTAGGTGTTTTATCCAAGAGCAGTGATGCCCATTTGTCCAATTGAGATGCAAAGTTTTAATTGAATCTGAAATTTATGATTTTGATGGCATAGTAGAAGGCTTTAGTATAATTTCAAATTTTTCCAATCTTGTAGCTTGACAATTGTAGCAGAATAGTTGCACATGCTCCAGGATTGGAAATGTTAAAAATAGCTATGTCTGGTTAAACATATTGTAGTAGCTCCATTATACTAAAAGATGCATAATAAGTCCATTATTGTTTGCAAACTTACTTAGTGTCATAAAATTAAATCTGAAAAAATATATACTAGTTTGTCAGCAAAAATTAGCTATTAATCAAACATTTTAGGAATATAGTTTTCAATTTTGGTACCATGGGACCATTTTATTCATAACTCACATTCTATTTTAATAATGGAATATCTTTAATTTTGTTCCTCTTTAAATAGCAGAAATACATATATACATTTCAGTGTATCTTTGAATGTTTAAACTTTTGGCCCTTTAAATCTGTAGTTTAGCATATAATTTGCAACCCTGGATTCATCATTTCTGACCACTGGGGTGGAGGCACTGCCTTCTCCTAACACCATGTCTGGTGATCACAAGAAGGTAAGAATTTTCAACCTTTATATACATATAACTATGAGATTTCCACTGGCTTGTTGTCTAAGAAGGTGCAATTCATTTACAATGTTCAGTAGAATATGCTCAGATATGCCATGAGATTTGTTTTTAGCTTTAATTTGCCTGGGAAAATTTAAATTAATTCATATTTGTTCTAAAGATTCCCCTCTTCAATCTACATGAGAAGATAATTATCCCTATAATACTCATTGGTTTGATTTCCATGTCATGAAGATAAAAACACAATAATTGTGGTGTAATATCCAAGTTTTCTCTTAGAGTTTGTTCCATGTCAGATATTTATTTATGCTAACAATATATACATATAATTACTCTATTCTAAAGAATTAAATTCAAGCTCCTTTATTTGCCACCTGATAGACTAATCTAAACTTTATCAAATACCATCAGGGGTTAGACAAAATAAGGGAAACACCTGAGAAATCCACAAAATATATTTTGGTATAGAAAAGGTCAACTTTTTGTGGCAATTACAGCCTTAATTCTTCAAGGTCTTGATTCATACAAATTGTGGATTGTTTCCAAAGGTATTTTAATCTATTATTCAGTTAAAACTCCCTCCAGCTCTTTCAAACACAATGGCAGTGGGAATTGACATCTGACTTGCATCTCTAAAATCAACCATAAATGCTCAATAATATTCAGGTCTGTTGATTGTGGTGGCAAAATGAGATTCTCAACTTCATCAGAATGTTCCTTATGCCATTTCTAACATTTCCGGCTGTATGGATCACGGCATAATCATTGTGAAAGATTGCATTTCCCTCTGTAAAAAGTGTTTGAACCATTGTATGAACTTGGTCCTCCAAAATTCTTAAACAGGCACAACTGTTGATTCCTCCATGAAGAGAAATCATTGGTTTGCCAGATTTTCACAAAATAGCCCCCCTAATCATCACAGATCTCCCGCCATGTTTTACGGTTGGAAGGAGGCAGTCAGGATTAAATGAATCTATTGGCTGTCTCCAAATGTAAACTTGGGCAGAGGTTGGAAATAAGTTAACTGATGATTCATCAGAAAAAATCACATTTTTCCACTGCTGTAGGGAGCAATTCTGGAGGTTTTACACCACTCTAATTCTCTAAATGCACAGAATAATTTTTATTTGAAACCATAGGTTTTCTCATAGCAGCTCTTCCATTGAATCCAGATCTGTGTAGCTCTCAGCAAGGTCTTCATTCAAACTGTGTTCTGTAGGTGTCCATTGAGGTCTGCAGTAATTTTAACAGCCATGCTCTTTTGATTGTCCCTCACATTTCGATTTATGTACTGACTGTCTCTCTAAGACAACTTTGACCTTTGTTTGGACCTGAGCTCTGCTGATGACATTTCTCCTTCTCTTTCAAAAGCAGTCATTACTTTTGACACGGTACCTCTAGAAACGTCAAGCATTTGGAAAGTTTCTGTCACACTAGCACCTGCTATACAGGCACAAACAATTTGGCTTCTTTGAAAGTCAGAGAGGTTTGCCATTTGTAGGTTATAGGTTAGGTTATAGACATAAAAATCAAAATGTCAGGCATTTCCTTTATTTAGACCAACCCCTGTATAGGTACTTCATCTTACATTGTTCAAATCCAAGGAATAAGTTTACATTCTAAGAAGCAGCAATAATTGCATCTAGCAAAAAGAACAAACTTTTAATTGCTATAAATGCTTGCTGAATATTTTTTAAAAAATGAAATGACATGAAGTTGTTTCAATTCATTCAGCTCAGTTTAGTGAAGACATTGGTTATCTAAAAAACACACAATGATGCTGAACTTAATTCATACATTGTTTACAGATCATCAAAGGCAGCCCTTCAATGTATGTGAAACTCAATGTTGGAGGATCCCTGCACTACACCACCATCGGCACCCTCACGAAGCATGACAGTATGCTGCACGCCATGTTCTCAGGGAGGATGGAGGTCCTAACTGATGCTGAAGGTAAGACTCATCATTAAGGTGATCACTATACCACCATCGGCACCCTCACGAAGCATGACAGTATGCTGCATGCCATGTTCTCAGGGAGGATGGAGGTCCTAACTGATGCTGAAGGTAAGACTTGTCATTAAGGTGATCACTATACCACCATTGGCACCCTTGCAAAGCATGACAGGACTTACCATTCCGATGATGGAATTATTTGTTGAAAATTGTAGCTTGTAAATTTAAATATTTGTAGTAGGCAATAGTTGGAAATCATTATTGATTCTTTAGCCCAATGTCATCATGAGATAGTTTATTTGTGCTTTGTTTGATTCTGAAATATTATTTCAGGCTGGATTCTGATAGATCGCTGTGGCAAACATTTTAGCACAATCTTGAATTTCCTGCGTGATGAGAGTGTTCCTATGCCAGAGAATCAGCGGGATTTAGAGGTAATTCTCCATTGTATTATTCAATGATTACATACCGTAAAATGGGGTAACTTAGACCACTTTCTTTTTTATAAATGATGCCATTTTTTTACTAGCTAAATTAAACTTGAATTGAAACATGCAAAATACAGGTCTATACTCTAGCTTCACTCACCATAAATTGCTGGCTCCTGCCTCTCATAGTCTTTATGTAATCTCAAAAAAAGTGATGGCCTTTGTTACCCCAGCTCCTGGGGTAACTTAGACCGGGTGGTAAAATCAATTATATTATTTGGTAAAATAACTCCAAATAACTCCAGGTTTTGGTGCATTGTAATAGAACTCTTCTAGTTACATATGCAAATGACAAACTTGAGGAAAGTGTCATAGTTTGCAAACGGGGGGTGCCGCCCAATAATGAGGGAAATGTGACTACCTAATGGCAGCCCTGATGGGGTAATATTGACTGGCTTGGAAATTAAGTTAAAATTACCATATATAAGACTCTGTAGAGTCTGAAACATAAAGAAAAAACATAAATAGGCTGTCAAACATAAAATATGTTATATATGGTAATTTTATATTAACTTCCAAGCCGGTCTATGTTACCCTGTCAGGGCTGACATTAGGTGGTCTAAGTTACTACATTTGGGGACGGCACCCCCCATTTGCAAACTATGACACTTTCCTCAAGTTTGTCATTTGCATATGTAACTAGAAGAGTTCTACTACAATGCATCATAACCTGGAGTTATTTAACCAAAAAATAAAAAAATTGGAGGGGGTACTCTGACAGGCTTTAGATAATAGCTTTTTTTCATGGGTCACATTTTTAATTTTTAACATATTAGATATGCAAACTTTTCAAATCTTTCTATTGTGTTATGTAGCCTCAGTATTAGGCCTTTAATGCCCATTGACAAAATTTTTCTATGTCAAATAGCTTTTGAGTTGTGGGGGTTTTTGTTAAAAAAACGAAAAGTGGTCTAAGTTACCCCGCCGGTCTAAGTTACCCCATTTTACGGTACTGTAAAAAATAATCCTAAATTTTCCATGCTCTTAATAATGTTATCGTTTTACTTTTCATCTTGTTTGTCTATCCTTCTGTTTATCAATCTATGAAGTGTTATACAAACATTTTAAAAATGAACAACATGTATTTATATTGCAGAATGTTATCCAGCAAAACCTTGGGATATAAAATATTTTCCTGTGATATTTTTAAGTTCTGTTCTGCAGTTCTGTTCTGCAGTTCTGTAAGCAGTTCTGTGATATTTTTTAGACATAATCTTATCTACAAGATTAGTTAGAAGGCATAATTTTGTCAAAAATTTCATCTTCTATTTGGTTCAGGTTCAGGAGCACAGATGAAAGAGCTATCATTTACGATCAATTTGTTTGTATTTTTTTACCTATTCCTGTAGTGTATTATACATTGATAAAATTATCTATATTGCTGTATTGTGACCTTGAATTGACAATTAATTCGTCAGGAATTGCTGAGTGAAGCTCGGTTTTACTGCATCAGCGAGCTGGTGGAAGAGTGTGAAGCTGCACTCCGTAAGTGCGAGAACGCATTACGTCAGTGGGAGGCAGAGAAGGAAGCCACTTGCCGCGTTACTCTCATAACTTCTCAACGAGAAGAACAATCGCTAATACAGTCCACGTCACGGCCCGTCGTCAAGCTTCTTGTCAACAGACATAATAATAAATATTCTTATACGAGGTCATTTACAAATGGTTATATTTTAACTTTTTTATGGATCCAGAGCTCATGCTGTGTCATTACCAGATCATAAATTTATTCATCTAGGTTCATTTTTTACTTTCTTTCCTATGGCGTTGTCTAAAAAAATACCTATACTATTTTATTTCGTGCCAAAATTTTGGTTTTATATTTTCTATTATGGTAACTGTGAGCTATTTAACATCACTTTTGTAATGTTCAATTATGGTTAAAATCAAATCAATATCACGACACTTGCATGTACTGCAAGCCATTTGTTTAGAATTGTATGAGTAAATTGACTTACCTGAAGAAAATTCGTTCAGAAACATGAGCATCATTAAATAATAGTGAAAGCATAGACGATTAAAATTCACATACATTTCCGGCAAGTGATGTAGAAACAAAGAGAGCCAGCGTATCCGGCCAGGGGTAACAAGTTGACATTACACTCGTGGCACCAAACGCTTCAATATCACCAGTTTTTCTCCAGCTGACGAATTAATTCTTCCTTTTCAGCTCATCCGATGACAATTTGCTGAAAAATCTAGAATTATTCGACCGATTGTCTCTTCGCTTCAGTAGACGTGTTCTATTCATCAAGGATGTCATTGGCAGCAACGAAATTTGCCTGTGGTCTTTTTATGGTCATGGTAAAATGCTTACTGAGGTTTGCTGCACTTCAATAGTCTATGCCACGGACAGGAAACACACAAAGGTAAGTCCCATCCTTCTTAATGAAAAACATTTAATTATTTTATTACAAATTACCTATCTTCTTGGACTGGAATTTTTTCAATATATGTGTGGAATTAATAGATTTAATTCCTAGTTTCTTAGTAATTCCCTCGTGCAAATGTGCTTGATGCGTATGGGTTCTGGTGTAAGATTTTGTATCGACTGAGTAAAAACTATTTCACCAATGGCGCTCACGTCCCAGCAATAAACGACGTGCAAGTTAAGTTCATTGATGAAGTTTGCCTCGTCCGACGAGTCTTCAGTTGGGTTGTGATTTGCTAACCTGCCTGTCGAGTCGTGGAACGAGACTTGCTGCCATCTTCTAAGGAGCCAAATGGAGTGCCTTAAAGCTTCGAGTCTAGAGGACTGTGCCTTAAAGGAACTTCGAGTCTAGAGGACTGTGCCTTGAAGGAACTTCGAGTCTAGAGGACTGTGCCTTGAAGAGACTTCGAGTCTAGAGGACTGTGCCTTAAAGGAACTTCGAGTCTAGAGGACTGTGCCTTGAAGGAACTTCGAGTCTAGAGGACTGTGCCTTGAAGAGACTTCGAGTCTAGAGGACTGTGCCTTAAAGGAACTTCGAGTCTAGAGGACTGTGCCTTGAAGGAACTTCGAGTCTAGAGGACTGTGCCTTGAAGAAACTTCGAGTCTAGAGGAGTGTGCCTTGAAGAAACTTCGAGCCTTTCCTGGACGATCACGAAACTTCCATTAACTCTCCCCAATGGTGACGAGTGACGAAGCTTCTAGCGCTTTTCGATGATCACGAAGCTTCCAGCGCTTCGCGATGATCACGAAGCTTTCAGCGCTTCGCGATGATCACGAAGCTTCCAGCGCTTCTCGATGATGGTCAACCTCAATTCAAGTAAAGCTCGGCTGAGACAAAGGCACAAAGCTCAAATTGATTGCGTGTAAACGAAGAGAATTAGAGATAATAGTTGAATGATTATGGAACAAGCTACGTTAATGAATGTAGAAGTTTTGATACCATAAAGTTCGGCAAGGAAAAGACATTTTACCCAGAAAGCTACATCGAGCTTCGATTGTCTACACTGAAAATAAGTATCCATTCCCTGTGTACTAAGTGGCTGCGCCCCACCAAGACGACAGTGGCTTTGACAGTTTCAAGCTGATTTTTCTTCTTTTTTGCAGCATAAACAAATAAAATAGCAGCTTATAAAAGTTTTACGCAAAATCAGCGCGAGCAAATTGATTCCAGTCGAGATTTTTAGTAATAATTTTTCATATAAAATTTTTTACCTTGCAATTTGTTCCCCGTTTTGATTTTGGCATTACGCGATCTTAGGTCGTAATCCAATTGTATAATTAAGGAGATGATTTTTGAAGATGGCCATTTCTATTGTACCGGAACGATAGTTATAAAATTAGGCCGGTCAATTGTTGGAATTTTATAAATTCAGTTGTAAATTCGAACGTTGACAAGAGTCTGAAGAATGATGATTTACTTGCAAATTATAATGTATTATTTTTTAGATTTTGAGGTACCGATATTTATTTGACATTAGTATCACTTTATTACCTAAATCGAAATGTATAGATATTTTAAAAACCTATATGAAACATTCTATGTATAGTCATGACAAATGTTCCAGAGTCCAGCTCCATTGTTAATTTGAAAATCAAGGAATATAAGAGAATATCAATGTTCACAACTGGAATTCGTTGAATAGATAGTTAAATATCTTTGTATTAGGCTCCTCTTGGTTGTTCCATTTTTTCAGTTTCTCCGTATTAAGTTCCTCGCATTTGCCAAGTATCTACCATATTAAAACCTATCTATTTCACAGGTGGAGTTCCCAGAGGCTCGGATATACGAAGAGACCCTAAACGTGCTGCTGTACGAGCACCGCAACGGCCCTGACGCCGACCTCATGCTCGCCACGTCAGTACGCGGTGCTGCTGCGTCGTCCTCGTCAAACCCCGCGTCTGTGCAGTGCACCAGCGACGACGAGGAAGACCTCCTGCGCATGTCTGCTCTGAGGCTCAGTGGCGTCGGGCCAAGCGGGGGGGCGTCTGGGGCGCAGGGGCAGCTGGCGTCCGGACTGTCGCGACTGAGGCCTAATAAAAACAACTGATGAGTCGGCAACGTGTAAGGCTTCTTTGATCGGGTATAACATGAAATGATTACTTCGGCAGGATTGATGCTTGTAATCTCGTAATTCAGTAAAGTATTTAGAATATTCTATTGTTCAGAAGCCGGTAAATTTACTGTTTGTTATTAAGAAAAGCTTTCTAAGATAAATTGTAACAAATTCGCGGCATATTAGACGACTTCCTTTTGAAGGGGTGTAAAATAAAGATATATAATCTCGCTGAAATAGGTTAATGAGAAACGAATCAACTATTGCCCTCGCTTTTTATTTAGGGCTCGACGACCAATCAATACATCAATCAACATTACCTATACAATGAGGTTATGAACAATTTCGCGGCACTTCACTACCGAGGTTTCCACCGTAGTATTTTGAAAGTTGTGTGGAATACGAACTCCAAATTTCTTCTTCGGGTCTTCGGGAGATGGGTATACGTGGCTATAAAAAGTATTGATAATGCATATATGGCACAGGTTTCTGAAATTGATAGTTCATTCCGTGCTGTGTCGTTTTCCCAGTTTTACCGCGTGTGTCTGTTGTGCCTCAAGTTGATTGCTGCAGCGATTTTTGTTCACATATTTCGTTATGTTCTTCAACTTCTGCCTTCCGGTGTTGCAAATCCTAGAATTTTCGTCTCTGTTTTGAGTGCTATATAGAAGCATAGTCTTCTAATGCTGTTGAATTGTTAGTTGGATTTGAAATTATTTTAGGTGCTTATTATTTCAAGACCAAATTTCAAGCTTAAGGTTAACTGTAACTGTTCGCTCTCATTGTCACTATATCATAGACGTAGTAATGTTTTACTTGGTTTCTTTCAAGAATGTTATAACTTTCTTTCATTACTTACAACTTTTTCCAACTCAATATCAAAACAAAGACAAATCAAGTTGAACATTTGTTCGATTCGAGGAATATTTCCAACCACATCAATAAATTTTCATCCGCATTCACCCTATAATTCAAATCTCTCTCAGGTTACCTCAAACGATGACAGCCTCGACGTGTCCGCTATTATCCTAAAGCAGCATTTTTGCGGTGATCATAAGTTCAAATTTGATCATCACTTGCGTTCACATTTATGATATTCATGTAAATTTCATGTCACGGGCACCGATTGGCTGACTGAATGTTACTATTGCAGTTCTTCAAAGTTAATTATACTCTTGGAACTCCGGTTGATTGCATATTTTTTCGCTTATCGAGAAGGGAAACTTTGAGAAGCTTCCCATTTATTTTGGAACCTCTTGACGGAAACTTCTTATATTCGTAAATACAACTATTCGCAATTGAAAGCGCGTACTGGTTACAGCACTCAGCGTTGCAAGTCACGGTCAATAATATAACGTAGAATGGACATGAGTCACTGTATTTAGGAACTGTCATTCAGTTGAATTTTTTTTTTACAAGTAGCCGATTTACTCCTATTACTCGTATATTCGTAATATATTAGGGAACTCTTTTTGAGGAGAACACAAGAAGGCATCGTCAAATCATAAGATGAAAAAGATATTGAGGTCTTAAGAAATCGAGCCTAATTGATGTATGGTTAACAATTTCCCGTGACATTGGCTTCCGAAATGTTTCTAGGCTTAACCACTGAACAGCGTAGAACATTTATTAGTTCGTGTGTGCTTATTACTTCAGAAAACGTTTTCTTCTCACAAAAATTCTGGAATAAATTGAAAAGGATTGTTATAATTAAATTGATAGTCTTCGTACCATCAAAGAAAAAACACACAGAACTAATTTTTTGAGATCTGTTCGTATTGAATTTTTATCTTACTAAAATATATATTCATCTCCATCCCGAAATATATTTTTCCTTGATTGCTTTAGTGAAATTGTAGTTGAAGTTAGAATTATTCGATATTTTTTAAAAAGTAGCATATCTATCGGGAGATAACAGATACGCAATGCAAGATCCGAAAAAATTGATTTCGTTTCCACGTTTGATATCATAGCCAAATTTCCAATATATAATGGACGCAATTTCCTCTAGATAATACAGAAGTGCTGCGTAAATGAAAAAGATAATGTGGCTAGATATTTCTTCTCAATAATAGATTGCGAAACATGACTTATAGCGCCCACATGTAAATAAACGTTAAACTCAGAACTTGACGTAGTAAGGTGGTTCTTCAACAAATATGGCAGAGAAGCAAAATTAAATAATTAAAAAATTCTAATGAAATCAACATGAATTGGCTCGAGCAAAAGGGAGACAGTCGGTTTTCGAATAAATACATCAAATTAGAGTATCGATACAAGTATAATTCGACTAAATTATTGCTTATTACAGCAAAAAGCTGACACACCTTTAGATACCGTGAATATAATAGTGCATTACAGGTAAACCAAACCAAGGAGAACTCATGACGTTATTTAATGATTCGTCAGTCATGATATCCTTATCGTCAGCCCACTGAGGACCTGGTTTCTGGCCATAACGATACCTGCAAAAAATCGAGATCCATTTCAGAATGATTAGGAAATCACAACATAAATGGGTTTGCAAAATCTTTCCACACCACAGCTCTAACATTTATGCGGATGAAAATAAACATTTGAACTGGAGAGCGGTTGAGGGAGAGTTTAGTAAATTGCGAATCACAAATTTCCGGACACAGAGCAGCAGCTCAAAGTTCCCAACCATTTCGAGTTCAAATCGAGAATACAGACACGCATCTCCTGTACGCTTGAGAACAGAACCGTTGCGAATGACATAAACAATCTTCCAGAGTGTAGGGATGTTGTAAATTAAAAAAAATTAACACACATATTCTAAAAATTTCAACGGAAGGCCAATTCTGTTAGACCTCTCAAAGCTCATAGATTCTATTAAAAATTCGAACATGAACTTTATCTGGCTGCGATAAGCACCTCCAGCTGTTACTGTACAATTAATAACAATAAAAATAACATAGTACAGCGAAAAAATTGGTCATTATGGATTTAAATTAATACACCGGAGGAGAGAAGATCATTTTTAGATCAAAAAATTTCAAATAAAAAGCAGAGTCAATTATGCACTCGTCTGGGATTTGCTTCGATCGCATCACTTTGAAACCACAAAAGACATAGAAGTAAAAGCCGGAAAAACTTCATGACAGTACTTAGGGACAAGTAAATAAAAATAAACCAGAATTAAATAAATCTAAAGAAGTCACAATTTCAGACGGTAAAATCACTATGATTACAAAAATACCCCCGTCTCCCAGCATTAGACCAATATGATTGATAAGAAGTAAAATAGTATCTCACCTCTCGCCATCTATGATGGCGTTACATGAAGCCAGCCATGGGATCGTCCTCCCTTTGGCGCCGCAGTTGATGAGCTTCGATTTCTTCTTCGGTGAGAACTTTGTTGACGTAGTGCGTGTTGTAGGCACGCTGCCTGTCATCTAGCTCCTGGAGGCGTTTGCCTTCATCTTCCTCTATTTTAGCCTTGATCAAAGCTTCCCTCAGTTTCTTCTTGCGCAGTTCTTCCTTGGAGAACTCTTGTTCTGCCTCGCTCTCATCACCGCTGCTGCTGCTTTCACTCGAGCTCGATTCTTTCTTGCTGCGCTTCTTGCGTTTCTTTTTGTCCTTTTTCTTCTTCTTCTTAGATTTCTTTTCCATTTTTTCTCGATGAATTTCAACCAAAGTTTTCGGTTTATCTGTAAGCTCATTTTCTTGCTTATTAGGTTCGTCTTCAACAGCGCTGGTTGAAACACCTGGCACGGAGGGTATGACGTCCTCAGCTACGTACGTCTTGCCAGCTTCGCCGGTACAATAAGAATTTTTCAGTAGTGAGTGACAGCAATTGTAGCCCCATCGTCCCTCATGCCAATAACTCCCCCAAACGCTCGTATGGTTATTTGGATAAACGTCTTCTTCATATCGTGAACGAATAACATCCTTTTCAGCTCCTCTAATAACTTTTCCTTGCCTTGAGTACTCAACGTAATCTTCAGACTGAGCCAAAAGCAACTGTCGGGGCGGCACTTTAAGATGTTCTTTGCCACCATACTTTTCGAGAAGACCGCTCGACACCTTTGTCTTGAACTCTTCCTTTTTCTCAATAAATTGTTTTTTGAGCATTTCTAGCTTGGTAGGTTCGGCCAGCATGCTAACGTCCACCCCCTGCTCGTACGCTTCCCAGGCAAATGCTTGAGCTTTTGCCTGCTCCACTGTGTCGCCTGTAAAACGGACAAAATTTTCCCCAGCAAAATCCACTTCTTCAGGCTTCTTGCCAGTATCTTTATAGGGATTGCTTCGCATCGAACGAGTTTTGGGATCATAATGAGCAGAATTTGGATCAAGATTACGTAAATATTTTGCTGTGTCCTCACGAATACGCAAATTCCTGACGGTAATTCGCTGTTTGCTGTCTACTTTCGTGCCAGGCATGTCGAAGTCTTCAGCGTACTTGTCTTCATCTTCCTCGTCATCATCATCGGCTTCGTCGTCGCTTATATCCTGGCCATCTTTGAGTTTTTGTGCTTTTGCTTTGCGTTTATATTCCTCGATTTTTTCATGCTCCTCCACAACAGCCTTATACTCGGATGGATCAAATCCATTCCAGCGATCCCGTTTCCCATCGAAATCCAAGTCCAGTTTCGGTAGCATCACATCATCGGCAGCGATGGCCTGATTAGTAAATTTGGCAGCAACTTTTCGCGGTCTTTCGAAACAATCTTTCCTAACATGGCCCATGGCACCGCAGTTTTCACACGCACCTTTACGAAACTTAGTGGCCTTAGCACCTTTCAATCCCCGAGTGTAATGCTCATTGAGATGTGTAAAGACCTTGATGCTTTCTTCCTGCTGTCTTTGATGTTTTAAAGTTGGACCCTCGGAGTTGTAGTACCAAGGAGCCGATGAAATGTACTGAGGTATGTGAGGGTTAATGTCCCTACCTTCCTCGTCTACAGCAGCGGGGATGGACCCTGCTTTCCTGAGCTCCTCGAGTTCCTTCTCTTTCTTCCAGTCTTCCCGGCTTTTCTTTTTTGGTTCATCACTGTTGGTCTCTTCATCTTTTGCTTTTTTCAGAATTATAGATATCGGTACATTGCTACTGCTAGCCATTTTATTGATATTGAAAAATTGGTAATCAGAATAAATTAATGGTCGCAGTAACAAAAAATTCAGTGCATAATTATTAGATTTTTATAAGCTCTTGTAGCCAACCAAACATAAGTTCAATTTGTGAGTCAACTTTGTTATCAGGGGTGAGTCAGCTTTGTAAGTTCTGAAACAAAAAGAGATGCATACCGTCAATTATCGTGTCTTAAAAAATTAACTTATACTAATAGTAATCAACAAAGTCAAATTTATTTTATAAGTTCTGGTAGTCTTATCAGCAATTACAACTGCACCGTTCATACAAGATCTCTCAAAATCTCAATAATCTCATATTAATGGCAGCATGTGCAAGGATATAGAATAAAAGAAAATAAGATTGCGGCTGGGAAATATCATGATATGTACAATATAAATAATAATCAAGTTACATGATAAGGGACATGATTCCAGGAATCAATAATCTCTAGTCCAAAATACATATGGAATATGATTGCTTTGATACCAACAGACATATTATTTTATTTATAACAGTCCAGCAACACCAGACTTGAATATCACAAGCAACAGGGTTGTTATGCTCACCAGGCATGTAATAACAAAACAAGTTCTATTCAACAGATATATTTGTGACCTATTTCCTGAGAGGACTGGGTTTGTAATTTTGCACCATTTTAATTGAGTTAAGTAAATTGATTAACTACGTATTACATAATAAGATCTTAAAAACGTACCCTGAAACAGAAAGGAGTATTTTAGCAACAATCATAATATTTTTTAGAGAAATATTTGGTAGTTAGTTTAGTGGCTATTCAGCTATCTCACACCGAAAGTTAAGATGAAAATCACCAAATAGGTGATGTTCACCAAAGTTTCTCAAATCAAAAATTGTTCATCACCCACAAGGGGCAGAAAGTCTCAATTGTCCAGCCCGCTGTAGCTGGCTCAAAGGAAGCAGCATTAAGTTTAACATCTTAAAGAGATGAAGTAAGAAGGAGGGACAGGTGAAAAGCAACAGAAACTAAGACACTAGAACATGAGGTTGCTTAAACGGGACGTCGGCCGCCCGCACGAGAGAGATGGAGTAGAGAAATGTAAGGAATCTAGCCTACATAATAACTCAATGTAAGGAATCCTACCTACATAATAACTTAACCCCACAACTGAGACCTGCAGTCAGACACCGCGAGCTCAGCGGTGGGGCGCTCAGGAACAATCCCCCTAGGAGCGCAAAATCCCACAAGACTTCTGATGAACACAGACATGCATCAGAAGTCCCCTCTGAGGGGTTTTAGAGAAATAAATCATATTTTAGGTTAATTACTTTTCATTCAATGTTGCCCAGTGCACAATTCTAAGACATTCTATGCACAATTTTGTGACCAATGATGCATTAATTTTCTGTTAAGTGAATTTTTTTTGGTAAGAGAGGTAAATTCAATCAAAATTCTTTGTCATTACCCAATAAATTTTTTGTTGACTGGAGCCTTTGCTAACCAAGTTTTACTGAAAAGGAGTTTTTAGGGGTGTCCCATATTACCCCAGGGAGGTGTTCCTTAATACCCCATCTTGCATAAATGGCCGCCATTTTATTTTTGGATCAAGGTATGCAAATTCCATTAATAAATTTTAAAGCCAACACCTGTCTGCAAGTTTTTTAGCAAAATTTTTTACTATGGCAAATAGGTATTTTCTTTCAGACCTCAGCAGAAGTACTGTAAAATGAGGTAACTTTGACCACTTTTTTTTTAAATGATGCCATTTTTTTACTAGATAAGTTAAACTTAAATTGAAACATGCAAAATACAGGTCTATACTCTAGCTTTACTCACCATAAATTGCTGGCTCCTGCCTCTCATAGTTTTGATGTAATTTAAAAATCAATTTTATTTTTTGGTAAAATAACTCCAAATAACTCCAGGTTGTGGTGCATTGTAGTAGAACTCTTCTAGTTACATATGCAAAAGACAAATTTTAGGAAAGTGTCATAGTTTGCAAATGGGGGGCACCGCCCCCAAATGGGCAAAATGTGACCATATAATGGCAGCCATGACTGGGCAACATTGACCGGTTTGGAAATTAAGTTAAAATTACCATATATAAGACTCGGTAGAGTCTGAAACATAAAGAAAAAAACATTAATAGGTGTATCAAACATAAAATATGTTATATAGGTACCAATGGTAATTTTGACTTAATTTCCAAGCCGGTCAATGTTACCTCGTCACGGCTGCCATTAGGTGGTCAAAGTTACCCCATTGGGGGGTGGCACCCCCATTTGCAAACTATGACACTTTTCTAAAATTTGTCTTTTGCATATGTAACTAGAAGAGTTCTACTACAATGCATCAAAACCTGGAGTTATTTTACCAAAAATGAAAAAATTGGAGGGGGTACTACGACAGGCTTTGAATAATAGCTCTTTTTCATGGGTCACATTTTTAATTGTTTAACCTATTAGATATGCAAACTTTTTAACTTTTTCTATTGTGTCACGTAGCCTCAGTATTAAGCCTTCGATGGCCATTGACAAAATTTTTCTATGTTGAATCATTTTTGAGTTTTGGAGGTTTTTGTTAAAAAAACAAAAAGTGGTCAAAGTTACCCCACCGGTCAAAGTAACCCCATTTTATGGTACTTTTCTAAAATGTCATTTTCAAACATTTTTTAAGGGACTTTTTAGAGCTAGTATACTATGTAAGATTTCTTTACTTCTTTAATGCTACATAGATAGGAAAAATATCAAGTTTATGCCACTATGTTTAGTTTTGCAATATTTCAATTAGTTTGCTGCTATAATATTTTTAGGCCTTGGCACAGGACTGTCCCAATTTACCCTGCCTGTCCCTAATTTTCCATTTGACAATTTTTTTCAATTGGATAAGATCTCTAGGATCTCTCTCCTGTACTCACAATTTCAATTTCTGCCACAGATTTTCAATTGGATTGAGGTCAGGTGATTGGCTTGGCCATTACAATAACTCAATGTCCCCCTCCTGAAACTATGATAAAGTTGCCCTGGCCAAGTGCTTGGGATCATTGTCTTGTTGGAATATCCAACCTTGAGGTAGATTCAATTTTATGGCTAACTTCACGAGACATCATTAAATGCCCTGATACATTTTGGAGTTAATCCTTCCTTCTATGATTTCCAATTCCCCAGGGCCTTCACCCTGCAGAAGAGAAACAACCTCAAAGCATTATACTGCCACTTCCAAACTGTCCAAACTAGGATATTACGGTATTCTTTGGGTGAAACACAGAGTTATTCTTCTTTCTCCAAACAAGACTGACATAGTTCCGACCAAACAACTCAATTTTAGTCTGATCTGACCATAATATTTTATCTCATAAGCTTGAAGGATTACTCACATGTTCTGTAGCAAGTTTCTGGCAGTTTTTTATATGAATTCCCATCATAGGAATGAATTCCCTTCAAATGAATCCTCTCTAGAAAACACATTGCAACACAACATAACATAACAAAACACATTGTAACACAACATAACAAAACACATTGTAACACAACATAACATAACAGAACACATTGTAACACAACATAACATAAAACTACACATTGCAACATAACACATCATGATATAACATTATACATCATAAAATAACATAGAACAATGCAACAAATTTTACCACAACATATAACAGAACACATTGTAACACAACATATCATGATACAACACATTATAAGACATTGTAAATCAACCAAACACATTATAACACATCATAATGTAACACCACAGATTATTACACAACATAACATAATACAACACATTGTAATACAAGGTAATATAACAAGACACATTATGACACAGCATAACAGCACAACACATTTTAACACATCATAATATAAGACAACACACAAAACAAAACATAAATTATTATAATAGAACATGTCACTTCAAAACACATGATTACCTACACAATATATAACAAAAAAATTATCATGTATCATAACATAGCACAGTAAAAACATAATCTATTGTGTACATAACATAACATAATCTATTGTGTTATATTATGTTCTGTTGTGCTGTGTTATAATTAGTTTTGTTATGTAATGATTTGATGATGATGATCACCACAACATCACTCGACTGAGTGCCGCCCAGGCCCACCCCCCTCCAGAGCGCCGAGCCGGTCTTGCCACACTCTGATCAGTTGGGACACTTCCACTGGCTTATTCCATAGATCTTCAGGCTGCAGGCTAGTTGGAATTTCAGCACACCCAAACAGATGTTGTGTGTTGTGGGTGTGGTTTTGACACAGAGGGCATGATGGTGTTGGGTAATTAGCCTCATCGATCTTATTGAGGTATTCTCTAAGCATTGGGCATTTCCCCGCCCTTAACGCGCCAATGTGCGCCTCATGCCTCGGTCCAAAGTCCTCTCTATTTCATTTACTTTAGGTGCAGGTGCATTTAGAATCTTGTCGGGTGTTCTCGACTCTAGGTATCTCTCGACTGCGGTGGTATGCAATGTCTTCATGTTTCTATTCACCTCCACGCTGCTATCACTGTTGTTGCAGTCATACACTTTTATGCTATACTCGCTGTTGTATATGGTCTTTTTCATGAGTCTGATTGGTTCTTGGTTCATCAGACTTCTCAGTGGGTGTTCTTCCAGTTTGCTCTTCTCCCTCAGTTGCAAGGCCATCATCTGCACATGGTTCTTCAGAGGCAGGACAGATGTTTCGTCGTGAAGATGTTGTGCGTTGGTGTCACGTGTGTGTCCTGTGGCAATTCTCAGGGCAGAGTTCTGAACAGTTTGTATTTTCTGCCAGCCACTTTCCGATGTTATGGGACCCCATATACTACTTCCATACTCCAGAACTGGACGTATCAGTGCCTTGTAGGTTTGCACAATAGTCTCTGTGTCCTTTCCCCAGTCAGCTCCAGATACGGCTTTTAATATGTTGATGTTTTTCTTCGCTTTGCTCGCAGTGCTTCTTACATGTTCAGAGTAGGTCATCCTTGGATCAAAAGTCACTCCCAAGATTCTCAGATGTTTTTCCATTCCCAACGTTGTTCCTCTTACATTGAGCTCCAGGTTGACACTGTACTGCTTGGGATCCGGTGTTAATAGTGTGACTAAACATATTCTTTGTAGCAATCCCACTTTGCTTTCTTGAAATTAATATAGGTCTTCTGTTTTCTTATACTCTTTTCCTTATTGTGGGTTTGTATTTCCAGTATTATTGGGAGGTGGTCTGATGATGTTGTTGTCATCGTTTCCCATTTTGAGTATCTCTGCAGGTCTTGTGAGAGTACTGTGATATCTGGCGATGTTCGTCTTTGTGTCTGATCAAATGGTATTCTAGTAGGTGTTTCTTCATTCATCGTGGTCATATCTGAGGTGAGTAGCAGCTCTTCTATGTATATTCCTCTGGCATCTGTGATGCTGGAGTGCCAGAGAGGAGCATGCGCATTCACATCTCCTGCCAGGATGGTATCAGCTGTTAGTAGCTCTTGGATGCACTGGTTTGTTCTTATTTCATCCTGATCAGCATTGATATCTCAGGGGGTTCCCTGAGCCAGAGGACGGGTCTCCAGCTCAGCATCACCGAAAAAACGGTGTAGCCTGACTGCATCTTGTGATGCAGTAGGATGATTGCTGTGATTTGCATCCAAAGATGGTACTCCCACGACGTACACGCCACAGCATTGGGAGCATGTAATGATGTGTTGGAGTTGAGTTATAATGTCTTATAATGTGTTGTATCATGATATGTTATGTTACAATGTGTTCGGTTTTGATATGTTATAGTAAAATTTGTTGTGTTCTATAATATGTTCCATTTTAAAGTGTGTTACCATCAAATGGGGTAAAAAGGGACGGGTGGGGTGAAACGGGACAGTCCTCCAACATTTAGTAGAAGTGTTGTAGCAGCTAAACAAATCAAAATATTGCAAAATTAAAAATAGTGGCGTAAAGTTCATCATTTTTACTATCTATGCAGCATAAAGCAAGTTGAGAAATCATACATTTATTACCTCTATAAAATCCCTGAAAAAAAGTGTGAAAAGTGAGATTTTGGAAAAGTACCTCTGCTAAGGTCTGTAGCAGAAAAAACATTTGTTGTATTGAAAAATCTTACTTGCGTAAAAGGTGCACACTGGTGTTGGCTTAAAAATGTGATTGACAGAATTTGCATATCTTGTTCCAGAAAAAAATGGTGGCCATTTCCGCAAAATGGGGTAATAGTGAGACACCCCCCGGGGTAATAAGGGACACCTCTAAAACTGCATTTACAGTAGAGCCTTGGTTAGCAAAGGCTCCAATTGATGAAAAAATCAATTAAGAACAAAGAAATTTGATTACATTTACCTTGCTCAGTGAAAAAATTTCACTTAACAAAAAATTACTGCATCAGTCATCACAAAATTGTGCATAGAATGTCATAGATAGAATTGAGCACTGGGCAACAAAGAATGAAAAATAATAGCCTAACCCATGATTTATTTCTCCAAAAAATGTGATGGTTGTCACAAAAATATTCCTACCTGTTTCAGGTATGTTTTTTACAATCTTTTTTGTTATAGTAAAATCACTTGACTCAATTAAAATTGAGTAAAATTACAAGCCATCCTGTAAGCTTACAGATACAGAAGAAATGATACATGGCTGCTGATATTAAGCTTGCAGTGGACAAGGTCATTGTTAATGCTCAATGGCATGTCCATGGATACAGTAATATCACATTAATAATATGGTAATTAATGAATATGGTAATATCACATCAATAAAGCAAAAACAAGTAAAAATTACAGAAAATGTCATTTATTCTACATTTACATCATCTACAATGAAAGAGGAGATCTTCAGAGCACTGTTAGTAATAGGTACATGAGTACACTCTGCATGCTTCAAATGTTTTAAAATTGAGTTTTATATCAAGTGTCCCTAATTACCCCATTTCCAGATTAATTCAGGAGCCTTTTATATTGTGTCTAGCACCTTACAAATAGAATTCGGAATTTTTTGGAGATGGCATATGATAGCCCTTGCAAAGACCTTTAAAATGAGCCCAAACTGGTTAATGAAATGTTTCATGGTAAGAAGTTATTAACAAAAAATGCTCAAAACCATCCCTTTTTACCCCGTTTGATGGTATATCATGATGTATTATGATCTTATAATGTGTGTTGTTATGTTATGTTATAATGTGTGGTGTTTTGTTAAGTTTTGTTACAATGTGTTGGGTTATGTTAGGATGTATTATAATGTGCTTGGTTACGATATGTTGTGTTATAATGTGTGATGTAACTGATGTTATGTTATGATGTGTTGTGTCATGATAATCTTAGTTGTAATGTTTTGCGTTATAATCTAATGTCATGTTATGTGGTGTTATGAGTTGTGTTATCTTGTGTTATGCCACGTTGATCGTGAAGTGCATTCATCATCATGCATCAGCCACATTGGTCGTAAAGCACATGTGTCGGTCATCGGGCATCGGCCAAATTGATCATTAAGCACGTGCCTGTGTTGACTCAACTTGATCATTGGGCATTGGCCACATCATAAAATGCGTGAATCCGCGTCAATCATAAGGCATCGACTACATTGGTTGTAAAGTAGGTGTGTAAGTGTTGATCATTAGGCATTGGCCGCATAGCACAAGTCAGAATCGATCATTGGGCTTCAGCCATATCGATCATAAAATGCGTGCATCCATGTCAATCATGCCGCATTGTTCACGAATCGTGAAGGTCAGAATCAATCGTTGGGTGCTGGCCCCATCGATCATAAAATGCATGCATCTATGTCAATCATGCCACATCATTTGCAAATCGTGAGCATCGGAATCGATCATTGGGCAGCGGCCACATAGATTGTAAATGCGTGCATCCATGTCAATCATGCCACATTGTTTGCTAATTGTGAGCATTGGAATCGATCATTAGGCATCGATCACATCAATAGTAAAATGCATGCATCCATGTCAATCATGCCGCATTGTTTGCGAATCGCGAGCGTCGGAATCAATCATTGGGCATTGGCCACATCGATTGTAAAATGCATGCAACCATGTCAATCATGCGGCATCATTTGCAAATCGTGAGCGTCGGAATCGATCATTAGGCATTGGCCACATTGATCGTAAAATGCATGCATCTATGTCAATCATGCCGCATCGTTCACGAATCGTGAGCATCGGAATCGATCATTGTGCATTGGCCACATCGATTGTAAAATGCGTGCATCCATGTCAATCATGCCACATCATTCACAAAGCAAGAGCATCAGCCACATCAATTGTACAATGCGCGCATATGTGCCTATCATGCGGCATCATTCACGAAGTATGAGCGTTGGAATCGATCATTTGGCATTGGCCACATTGATCATAAAATGTGTGCATCCATGTCAATCATGCTGCATGTTTGTGAAGCATGGGCATTGGCCACATTGATCATAAAATGCATGCATCCAAGTCGATTATTGATCGTAAAGTGCAAGCATCAATGTCGATCATTGAGCAACAGCTGCATCGATCGCACAAGTGAGTGCATCATTGTCGGGCATTGGCCCAATTGATCGTAAAGCACACGCCTCAGTATTGATTATCAGACATCCCTCAGATATGCACTTTTGTTTTTCTAGCAAACATACTGGCAACTTTCTTTCCTGGCGAGCTGGCGTACATCCCAAAATGGGCCTCCGGCGCACACACCGCACCTTCCAGACCGCGGCAACCGTGAAAGGACACCAATGTAAGGTCGAGATGGCTGATGAAGATCCTCAAAAAGATGCAAATGTAAAGTCAAGGTGGCTGATAAAGTTTTGCAAAAGACACCAATATCTTGAGCTAAAAGGCCATACTCTACAGACTGGCCTACCTCTTTATGCCAACCAAAATTTTTGGATCAAAATTAAACCCTAGGTGGATCAAAATTAATATATGAACTACCATTTTTAGAATTCCATCCTGAATGGCAAGGTAATGAATGAATGCAGTTAGAAAGATCTCTATGACATCCCTTTGCATTCTAGAATATTCCAACATTTTCTGGTTCTAAAATATTTTCCCAACCCCAACTGTGGCTAAACATAATGGATCATTGGATGAGAAATTATTGGCAAATCAATTTTTTATTTAATGTGTTTGCACAATTAAAAATAGTGGCATAAAGTTCAACATTTTTACTATATCTATGCAGCATAAAGCAAGTTAAGAAATCATAGGTACCTTTATTACCTCTAAAAAATCACTGAAAAAAAGTGTAAAAAGTGAGATTTTGGAAAAGTACCTCTACTAAGGTCTGTAGCAAAAAAAATATTTGTTGTATTAAAAAATTTTACTTACATTGTAACCGGATGAAATAGCGGGTGGAACAAACTCGTTCACTTACTGAAAATTTAATCTTATAGTGCTAGTCACAGAAAATGGAATTAATGAATTACTTAGGGATTTGCTTTTATTCGAGTACTGTAAAATGGGGTTACTTTGACCGACAGGGTAACTTTGACCACTTTTCGTTTTTTTAACAAAAACCCCCAAAACTCAAAAACGATTTGACATAGAAAAATTTTGTCAATGGCCATCAAAGGCCTAAACACCTATTAATGTTTTTTTTTATGTTTCAGACTCCTATACAACATATTTTATGTTTGATACACCTATTAATGTTTTTTTTTATGTTTCAGACTCTACAGAGTCTTATATATGGTAATTTTAACTTAATTTCCAAACCGGTTAATGTTACCCCGTCATGGCTGCCATTAGGTGGTCACATTTCGCCCATTGGGGGGCAGCGCCCCCCATTTGCAAACTATGACACTTTCCTAAAATTTGTCTTTTGCATATGTAACTAGAAGAGTTCTACTACAATGCACCACAACCTGGAGTTATTCGGAGTCATTTTACCAAAAAATAAAATTGATTTTACCACCCGGTCAAACAACAAATACCATCACGGGGTAACAAATACCATCACTTTTTTTGAAATTACATCAAAACTATGAGA